TTACGAGAGTATCCTGCCTGTGGTACAAAAAAGAAGACCGACTGTCGCTTGGAGGGTGGGAGAGAAGCATAGCACGAATTGTTGTCTGAAGGCCTTGAAAGTTGGCTTAAGCTTCCGAAACTTCGGAACAGGCTATTTTACTTTTGCAAAGATGGTTTAACGAAGGAAACATGTTATTAAAAACAGTAGCATTCTGAAAGATGGATATAGAGATGGAGCAATAACAGTGACAGTAGATACTGGAAGAAACTGACATGAAATGAATCCAACAGTCCTGGGTTAGAGTACATACCACTTGTCGAAACGAAGAGTTCTTCATACTACGCCGCGCACGCCGCGTATGCCGCGTACGCCACGCACGCAGCGTACGCCGCGTACGCCGCTGCAGCGCAATGCATACCTTCGATACATAGAGCCATGTACTCTGGTAACCTTCACTTTGAGCGTCATGATAAAACACAACCTTCACCTGGGGAGAAGTACAGAAGTCATCCGGGGAAGCGAAGCCCCGGAAATTATGACATAGCTAATGACATAACCGTATAGGGATGAATTTGAATGAGGCAAATATAGCAGTGACATTCAAAAGAAGCTCAAAAAACTGAAGAATTGCGTTTTTATGGCCTTTTTTGTTGAGAAGAAGGTTTTTATTTGAAAATTCAATTAAAATCTAGGGCAAAATTTCTCAATTAACCTTTCTATGAATTGCGGTTGAATGTTGGAAGTTCATTAAAGCCGCCAGAGTTTAATAAAAACGAAAAACTGCGCTCAAATCTTGCGCAAAGAGTCGCCATATGAATGCTGGTCTATCTCGTTATGGAGTGATTTTCAAGACCCGCGACGTTGTCAGTGCTGCTGGCCGTCTCATGAGGATCACAACGATATATAATGTTGCAGGGTTTCGTTGAGACCCCGCGAAGATCACGACCAGAGCCAAATGCCCCGTCGGCTCTGGTCTGTCTCCGCTGCCCGTCTGCGTCTCCGCGCGCTGCGCGCTACCTCGCTACCTCAAATGCGGGGCGCGGGGCATTTGGCTCTGGTACCCTTTTCTTCGTTGTTCGGAGCCCAATTTCGATAATCTATATATCATATCAAAGCTCTTGATCTCTATTTTCACGCTGACAACGTCGCGGAACTTCTTTTTAGGATTTAAACGAGAAATCCTCGAAAAACGGCGTTTTCGAAAACCTCTTGTTTTTTCTACAGTTCAACTTTTTTCACTCAGTTTTTTTGTGCATTCGATAGGTCTTGTTTCTGTCTATGATGTAGACAACGTCGCCGAGCTTACTTCTTTCTTATGCCGGTTGTTTTGGTGAAAAATACAAAAAAGTGCGTTTTTCTTTACCTTGTTCTCTTTCTGTGCTTTTGCAACGAATTTTTTCCAGCTTGGACGCTACTTGCTCAGAATGATGAGCGGAAGAATCCAGACAACGTCGCAGCGTACGAAACGACTATGCGGGGGTGAAAATTCAAAGGACGCATCAAAAATCAGATTGGCGTCGATGTGCAACACAACTTTACAGACATGTTTAACACGTTCAATTCAGTTGTTCACAAGTTCTTCTTCTTTCGGTCTCCCAACTAACGCCACAGCTAAACAGCGCTTTTTTGATTGGAAAAGAACTTTGTTGTTGTTGCCACCCAATTTAACCGGCAATCCTGGAGACGAAACACTGCGTAGGAAACCACCAAGTTAAGGTTTCAGATTTGGTGATGTGCTAACCTCTGCTTTATATGAATATTTTGAGTTTCCTATTTTATTTTGTATCTCTAAATTTTCGTCTATTTTTCTGAAACAACCTTCACTTTTTATAGGGGGCATTAACTCAAACAACTATCACTTTCTAGCCTCTGTCTCTTGACTATCGAAGGTATGGCGCAATGGAATATGCTCACGGCAGCAGAGCTCCACTTTTTTTGATGTATCTCTATACTTGCTGCACATTCGTGTACCTCAATAGTGTTCCTTCACATTATTCATTTCTTCCTCTCTTTTGCTTTGTTTATCCTGTCTATCCTTTGTCTATATCAATGATTGATGGAATGACTTAGGTTGTTGTGCTCCCTCTACTTTCGAGTTTCACATATGGTATTGTAACTGACTGCACATTGCGTCATCTGGTTGTATATTGGTAGTATATGGTTGTATGGTTGTATGTTGTATCTGGTTGTATATATTTGCGCTGTTAACATCTCCTTACAAACACATCACTGGATAAAAAGGACTTCTCTTCTTCATATTGTTAGACTGCAATTGCAAATTTGATGCGCCGTTGTTGCCGCAGTTTGTTTTCTTCGCTCACAAAACACCATTTAAGTTTCGGCGCTGACTTCACAGTTCACAATGTTAAGTGTCTGGGGTTAAAGCTGTACAGAAATAAATGATGAAATGACGCTCGTAATAATAAGCAGTTATAGAGATACATGAAAAAAAGTGGAGTTCTGCTGCCGTGAGCATATTTCCATTGCGCTGCAGCGGCTTACGCGGCGTGCGCGGCGTAGTATGATGGAACCCGAAATGATGATCCGGCACAACATCATAGGATTTCTGCGGAAGAAATTGAGGTCAAGAGGCGTACAAACGCCATCATTTCTATGGTCGGCAACCTCAGAGGGTGTTTCGAGAAGTCAGCTCAACCATCAAAGCCAGGCGCTTCTCTTAAACCGGTTCAACGGAACATGAAACCTTTTTTGATTTCAAGCCGTGGATAAAAGTCCTTATAGAGGTTTTTTATGTTACTAGATCAAGGGAGTGAATTTTTTGCACGTGCTAACTTTTAGCACGAGCAAGTTCGTCTAATTCTGGCCTTCGAAAAGTTGATGATGTGAAAACTTTGAGCTACTGAATGGTACCTCTCTACTCCTTCATTAAAGGTGCTCACTGCAGCGAGTTGAAAAACACGTTGTTCTTCTATATATGCATGATATCTCAGATCCGGATTGAGCCTTCCTATAGAAGCGGACGAAAGCGTTCCTCGAAGGAATCCTTTACATTGCGCGCTCAGCAACGGATTGTTCAAATCTCGCAACTGCAGCAAAAGGGGTGCGCTATGCACTCAAAGTGGTACATTTGATTTTTGAAAAATCTGGTGATCGTTAATCGCTGTTACCTAACGATCGCCAGACACCAATATAGGCTGATGTCCATCATACATTGATCGCCAAATTAGCACTTATCTTATACTTATCCAAAAATACAGGGCTTATCAATTGCTGAGTCGAGTGCGCCAGCATCTTCGCTCACGCGCGGCTGCTTCGCTTGAACTCTGCACCTCTTTCGCGAACATTTTTATCGCTTTTCCACCACGAGCGTGGGAAAGGCGGAGTTTCAGTCGTTAAGCGAGCGTGCGAAAACGACAAGAGAGCATGCTGCGAAAGAGGTGCAGAGTACAGGCAGGGACGGGTACCGGGAGCGGAGATGCTGTTGCACCCGACTTTGCAATTGATAAGCCCTGTACGATAGCAAACAGTAGCGACTGGCGATCGTCTGGGATTGCTACAAACTGTTTTGATCACTCATTTAGGCCTAAGACATACCTCGCGCGATTCCTGTCGCTGCGCGATTTGGCACAACAGCGACTCTCTGTAATTCGTCGTTAATGCGTTTCCTTTGGTCAGAACTTAACCCATTTGCAACAGCTCAAACAAGTTACCCGCCTATGCGTTCGAGAAGCGCGCACGATAAATTTGTAGAAATCTGGCAAATCGCCAAGTCCCGTGAAAGTGGCGATTTGGCCAAATCGCGTGAGGTATGCCTTAGGCCTTACGGAAGGAATTGAGTGGAGCTGCTGTGACTTGCAATCGACAGCTAAATAAAGCGCAATCGCCATGCGCTTGGCATACTCGAGCGACGAAGTCGTTGCAATTATTTTTGTGAACACACAACCTGCGCGAATTGAAAGCGGCGACTAAGTCGCTCCCCGTTCAGAGCTCGGGCGCGACCTCATATAATTACTAACTCTTCATACTTTGCACGATAATGCACTCATACTCATGCAATGGATCCACTTTTGATCCGCTTTCCACTAACATTTAGAAATAGTGCTTAAGAATCTCCTCTTCCAATGTTCTGGTCAATTAGCTTCTAAAATATTCTAACTGTACGTCGCCTCTGCTTGCAGAGGTTCGCACTGGCTCTACTATCTACACTTCCACCTTCTATTCACTTCTATTCTTCCACCATTTCGCTCTGAAACTCACCGCAAAATGCTAACTATTACAAATGAGTCGTAAACAACTACTCATTCCTTGAGCTCTTTCATGTAAGATCGGTAATTTTCAAGCAACTTCTTTGCACAAGAATGAATGCGATTATGAATTAGATATCGAATTAAATGGTTTGATAGTCGCGACGATAACCAAACGTGGACTACGTTTTAACAACACTCTCAGTTACGCAAAGCTTGACAAATTGACAGCCAGCACTATGCGTAACGATGGAATTGATTTCCCAACAACTGAGTACTCTGCGTTGATACCACTGCTT